AAAGCTGATCCGTCGTTCCACGACCAGGACGGAATCCGAATTGTTCCTCCTCAATCTGAGGTTCGACAATCGGCCTGACCCTCCTTTCGAGTACCTTAGAGTAAACTTTCCCGGGGAGGCTGAGTAGTGTGATGCCTCTGTAATTGGCACACACCCTCTGATCCCCCTTTTTAAAAAGGGGAACCACCACCCCGGTCTGCCACTCCTTCGGTACTGTTTCCGACTTCCACGCAACGTTGATGAGACGTGTCAACCATGACAGTCCCTCAACACCCCGAGCCTTCAGCATTTCTGGGCGGATCTCATCCACCCCCGGGGCTTTGCCACTGTGAAGTTGTTTGACGACCTCAGTGACCTCCCCCCGGGAGATTGGTGTCGATCCCCCGTCATACTCCAGCTCTGCCTCTAACATAGAGGGCGGAGTTGTCGGGTTCAGGAGTTCCTCAAAGTGTTCCTTCCAACGCCCTAACACTCCATCAGTTGAGGTCAACAACGTCCCATCCTTACTGTACACAGCTTGGATGGTTCCCTGCTTCCCCCTCCTGAGGTGTCGAACAGTTTTCCAGAACAACTTTGGTGCCGCCCGAAAGTCCAATTGACTGTATTTTTGAATATGTTTTGAAGGAAACACATTCTCTCCTGGATTACCTTTTGGACATATGGTCAATGTTTACACTTTTTGAAAACAACTATAACAATGCAACAAAAGCAGTCGGTTAGGTTTTGCCAAAGATTGTGTGTTGTTTTTTTAAAGTTGACCTTAGTTTTCATGCAGGACACAAACAGCGGTGCACCTTTACAGAGCAGCAGGAGGCCCCACAATATAATCTCCACCTGTGAGCACCAATCATACAATGTGTTCATGGTCAAATAGAACAAGTCACATGAGGTCCCCCTGGGCTCTGTAACATTGTCTTGTTTTACACATTTGATCTGTTCTTTCTATCTGATTTGTTATTTTCTGTTGGCATGTTAGCAATACAATTCACCAACCTGTCCTACAACTACCTGTCATTGGTATATGGTGCAGACAAAAACACAGTTGAAGAAGATAGAAAGTACGAAAAAAAAGATGTAGATAAATAATTTACATGAATAGATATACCAAAAGAAATACGTACAGTATTCTCAGAAAATAATAAATTAAATATGTGCAGTATTGTTCTGAAAAGTGGAAAGCTGTGCAGATGTTAAGAGAGGTAGCTTGTGTACAAATATAAATGTATTTTGAGGACAAAATGTTCGGAATACCGTGCAGTTTCTATTGACGCAACTGCTCTCTTTCTGTGTCTCTGTTCTATTGTTCTCTTTGTTGGGCTGTCACAAAATCAAATTTTGAATCTACAATATAATGTAACAATAATAACATGTAAAAACATGTACAGACACCAAACCCCCCCCCCCCACTGTGTGAGAACACTCACCCATATTTCAGACTCAGGCTGATGCAGTGAAGCCCGAAATAAGGCTGACTCACAATCTATTATTGAGTGTGGAACTTGGAAATATCACGCGCTTTAGTTTCACTCCAAGCTCACGGTCGGTGTACTTATTGTTCCCTCCACATGACCTCTTCCACGGCAGAGGGGGCGGAGGGGCAGATGAGCCCTGAGGAGGAGGAGGCCCGGAGGATAGCAGAGATGGGGAAGCCCATCCTGGGAGAGCACAGCCGCCTGGAGGTGGTCATCGAGGAGTCCTACGAGTTCAAGGTGCAACATTCAATATTTTTCTATGGAAAAAGTGTAGTTTTATGTGTTTTTTACTGCAGTGTACTGCCAATTCATTCCAGCAATGGTCTAAGTTTATAGTTTTGTTTCATTTTTAATTCTATTCTGATGTCCTCTAAGCACATTTATAGATGAATTATTAATGGTAGCCTATTGCAGCTCTAGAATCTAGACAAGATCCAAATCATTCTACACATACAAAAACATGTATTCTCTTCCAAAATATATAAAAAAATGTAATAAAATCTTGCATTCAAGCATATCACTCTGTATAGGGAGCAGAACATGGCTCTAGAAATGCACAGTGTTATTACAATTTGTTTTCAAATAAATCTCGTTTGAATTCATATTTAAAAGCCGCAGTCGAATAGTGGGACACAGGGCTGTGTGTACACACCTCTGAACATATAATATTCTGTATATCCAGGTAAAAGCTGAAACCAGAATAGGAGCATGTACACTTATGGTGCTGCATTGTAAACAGTGAGGGGCATAAAAAGAACGCTGCTTTCCTGGAAATGTTATATAATCCACGTTTAAACTCTCACACTAAACCCGGGTCATAACCCTCTCAGCGAGCAGATCTAATATGAGTTTAAATTATTCAAAAAGCCTGTTCCTCACGATGCAGCGGTGAGCTTGAGGCATGAAAAATTCAAACTATCATGGCATGAACAGAGCTGCCACGTCTCCCAGGCTCCATGCAATACAAATATTTAAAATGTGCAGTGGTCTCAGGTAATTAAGTAAATAAAAGCAGCCACTCACTGCCACTCCGAGCAGCTTGATGAGTGTAGTTTACTGCCATAGCAATAAGTCGATAAAACAGTCCAACACACAGAAGGATGATATATTGCTAATCCATCTTTTTATTGCTCTATTTCTCTCAACAAAATTAAAACGATGGATTCTTCATGTGCTTCAAGCATATTGTTTTGTACACCTCTGAGTCTGTGTGAAATGCACAGAATCAAATATTTATACAGCCCTCTATTTCCTTTTGTCATCAGCACACATGAATGTAATTGAAGCAGTGGGTGTTGCACAAGTTGAAAAAAAGCCCAGAAATCATGAAAAATGTTCAAACATGTAATAAAATAACACCTGTGTGTTGATTTTTGTGAACAGTGGAAACTTTTAGCTGGCAGGTGAATGTTTGCATGTGTATTTCTCTTATAAGCCATCTCTTTCACACTTTCCCTAAACATACAAATGAATAAAGCAAACAGAAAATATGCCTAACTTTGAACTAATTAGAAACCAACCGAAGCATGGATATTTGACAATCTCTTCCAGAAGTGAGTAAAAAAAGAGTGCAAAACATTAACCAACAAAAGAGATGAATGAGAGCCTGTCAGACTGTTTTTCTTACTGATGTTCAAAGCAGTTAAAAGGTTTTGTTCACCAAGTTTATAAATGGGATAGGAAATCCCCTCAAATTAAAAGAAACAGACCTCCTTGGCCAAAATGCAATCGTGGAAGCATACACGGTAAATAAAAGCTGATGATGGTCCCCGTGAGTTCATTACCTTGTGGAGTACTCTTTTAAAGCCTGTCATTTGGCATTTTGGCAAAACAAATGCTAAGTTAACATTAGCACTTTCCAGCTGGCTTGTTCAGCAAGAACCCCAGAAATATGTCCCCTTTCACTCAGAGACTATATCTTTGTCCGACCTATAGCCGAATGGTTGAGTGAGGGACGGTTTAGGTCCCGCCCTTTAAAACTGTTGGCCCTCCCTGCATTTATAGAGAGACTAAGAACCTTTTAGCACTTTAATACCGAGATGGCAGGGTTCTTCTGTAGACAACCTTTTGGATTTTCCTTCACTGAAGAATATATGTTCTTTGAATAAAAAGGCTTTTGGCAACAAAAAAAGCTAGACAGAAGAAGAGAGGGCGCACTGACATGCCCATTTCTTTTGGTCTGATATTCTGGTGCTCTTGTGCGACATCTGCTGGTACTGAGTGTGACATAGAGAACCTTTAAACTTCACTCACAGATTTTCATCATTGAAAACCCCACAAACAGCACAGCTAACGAGCTCCCCTGTCCTCTGCTGTGTTTGGCAGCTAATGAAGTGTGTGTTTTGCTCCTGATTGGCAGAGCACCGTGGACAAGCTCATTAAGAAGACCAACCTGGCGCTGGTGATCGGCACACACTCCTGGAGGGAACAGTTTGTGGAGGCGGTCACTGTCAGCGCAGGTGAGCTGTGTGTGTGTGTGTGTGTGTGTGTGTGTGTGTGTGTGTGTGTGTGTGTGTGTGTGTGTGTGTGTGTGTGTGTGTGTGTGTGTGTGTGTGTGTGTGTGTGTGTGTGTGTGTGTGTGTGTGTGTGTGCTTAAGTACATGTTTTTTTATAATTCTTTGTAACTTTGATAAGATCAAA